TCCGTCAAAATTTTATTCATATAATTTAATTTTATTCACACATTTTTTAAGTTTATGAATAATACATCCATATTGATTAGTCTAAAACAATACACAAAGATGGAGAAATACAAATTCTATATTTTAAAATCAATTATTAAAAGATATGTTAATTAATTCATTTTTATTAACATTAACTATAATAATCTCGAACAAAATATTACAAGTAATAATATAAAAACCGCAACTATCTCACATCAATGTTGCCGAGGGTCACTGTCACTTTCCGACAAAGCCGTCCACGACTTTCCAACAAGTGTTTACATTATGCGAAGAACACAAAGGGGAAGGAATGGCGATGGGGGGCAAGGGGTGGATATTAATTCCGCATCCCCATTTCTCTATAATAAATTTTTTCCATTTCTCATTCTCCATTCCCCATGGGTACCACCCTCCCCATTTTTTAATGGGTATGGATTTTTCCCAACCCACTTTAATCCCCATTTTTATTTTTTATATTTAATGTTAACAACCCCTTTTTTTCTTTTTCTTTTTTTTTTTTTCTTTTTTTTAAGGTTCACAACAAAAACTAAATATACCTTCTCCATGCAGAGTCCTCCTAGGATTCATACTCCTAAGGATAATGCTTATCCTTTCACACCCCCCAAATTTTTTTTTTTTTTAAAAGAAAATCACACATTACCACTTAATTGAAATATTGTCTCTACATCCTTTTTTATTTTGTCTCACCCAAGAGTCATATAAAAAATAAAATAAAATAAAATTCCAAACCTCTAATTTTATGGACACTAGGCTATAAGTCTAATTTCAAAAAATTTGAGGGAGTAGTTTAGAGAAAATTAATGAAAAATCCATCCTAAAAGAGATATAAGGCATTATTTATTTGGTAATAAGAACAAGTTAGAAAAGGTTGTCAGAAAAGTCATCGCCATTGTCAGCTAGCGACGGTGATTGGCAGTAGTAGGTGGTGGTGGTGAGTTAGAGAAATATGTGATATTCAACAAATAAAGTATTAAATAAGTGACATGTATCATATAGTTTGGTGATTTTAAGAGATAGTCAGTTTAATTTAAACATATACTTATCATTTTAGACAAATTATGTTCTTTTGACCCAATGATGTGAGAGTTTGGACCTAATGACTCAAAAGATTACAAAATAGATTTGTCTCAGTGTTGTTTTGGGAACCAAAATAAAAAGCCACGTTTTTTTATCTTTGGTCCAAAAACGCAAGTGGTAAAAACGCAACAAAATTGGTTTGGAAAGTAATAAAAACGGAAGTGTGAAATTATAAATTGGGACCTATGACAAAAAAATAAAAAAATAACTCTCTTATGTTGGGTAATGGTATTTTGGTCATTTTAATTTGATTTGACACCATAAACAAATATTAAACTAAAAAGCCAAAAGCCAGCTTTTTACCAACTTTCCAAATCACTTTCTAAAAAGCTAAAAAGTTTGATAAAAAACCAAAAGCCAGCTTTTTACCAACTTCCCAAAACACAAACATATGGGGAAATTAGTGGGTACCCATCCCCAACCCATCCCCTGTGGATATTTAAAGAATATCACCTACCCTACCCAATGGATAAGAAAAAGAGGGGAAAACCCATGTATTTGGGTTGGGTCTCCATGGATACCCACAGGATAGGTTATCCATTGCCATCCCTAAGTGGAATGTTTCGTTTCGCAATTATATGTTTTTGTTGAAATATTAAAATTATTACATTATTTTTTTATATATACTTTTGTAAAAAATTAAAAAATTATTAAAATAATTTATTTTTAAATGAGGCCTTATATTAACTTGGGGTTTTTTTTTTAAGGTCCCTGGTATTATGATTTTATAGCATGAATGACACCAAATATTTTCATAATGTCTAAAGTCCCTCAACCTTGATCCAGAAAAATTTCAGTCCAGAGAAAATTGGTCCAGAGAAATTTCAGTCTAGAGAAATTTCAGTGTAGAGAAATTTTGGCCCAGAGAAATTTCTCTGGACCAAATTTCTCTGGATGAGTTTCTCTACTTTTCTTCCCATTCACATCCAAATCATTGTGATTCATTAGGTAAGCAACATTGTTCAACTGAATTCAACTAGAAAAATTCCACATTGTAATATGTAAGCAACATTAGAACAAGATAACAATGGCAACTTACCAGAACCAGAGAAATTCTGGAAAAATCTGAGTATTTCTCTGGTTTGTTATTAAAATATCAATTGAGAATTTCTCTGGTTTATTAAAAATAACAATTGAGAATTTCTCTGATTTGTAATATCTAGAAAAATTTCTGCAACTTACCCAAATCTGTTCTTCGCTTTTTTCCAGTTGAATTTTTCAATCGAAAGTGTTTCTCTGTTGAACAATGTTCAACTGAATTCAATTGGAAAAATTCCACATTGTAATATGTAAGCAACATTAGAAGGGATAACAATGGCAACTTACCAGAACCAGAGAAATTCTGAAAAAATCTGAGAATTTCTCTGGTTTGTCATTGAAATATCAATTGAGAGTTTCTCTGGTTTATTAAAAATAACAATTGAGAATTTCTCTAGTTTGTAATATCTGGAAAAATTTCTGCAATTTACCCAAATCTATTCTTCGCTTTTTTCCAGTTGAATTTTTCAATCGAAAGTGTTTCTCTGTTGAACAATGTTCAACTGAATTCAACTGGAAAAATTCCACATTGTAATATGTAAACAACATTAGAAGGGATAACAATGGCAACTTACCAGAACCAGAGAAATTCTGGAAAAATCTGAGAATTTCTCTAGTTTGTTATTGAAATATCAATTGAGAATTTCTCTGGTTTATTAAAAATAACAATTGAGAATTTCTCTGGTTTGAGAATTCACCAGGTTGGTTCCTTTCATTTACAAAAACATTCTGTGAAGACCAATCAAACATTAGCCAAAAAACATTAGCCAAAAAATTCTATTTTCTGTCACCATTCGAATCCGACCACTTAGCTTACTTGATCTTCTCAAGCTGAACCTGAGTATCCTTGGACAGCTGCATTCTCTCAACCTTCAAATGTCAACCACGGCAGCTTCATTTTTTGAGCTTCACACCGCACACACACAGCTTCAACCCATGCACATATACAACCCATGCACACAATCACACATATACACGGCGCACACACACATCACAACACACAGATAACTAGCTATATCAACATTACCTCTCCAGAGAAATTTTAGCGGCTTGGTTCTTCTCTGATCTGTCACTTATATACTCTATTACCTCCAGCTGCTGATCCATCCGAACAGCATTCTAGGTGAATTTGATTTTGGATCTTTCAATTCTCATGAATCTGATTTTGCTTTGGAATTAGGTTTTGTTGGGAAAGATTTCAACAGGAGCCGAAAACGACTTGGAGAAGGTGACCAAGATGACCTATGCTCAAGTGGCGATCTATGGTTTCAGCGATAAAGTAGGTCTTCTCTCATTTCCTCAAAGGGAGGACACATTTGAGATGACGAAGTCGTACAGCAACAAGACCGTTGCAATCATCGACAACGAAGTAAGAGAATGGGTGGCAAAGGCATACGATCGCACGTTACAGTTGATAGAGCAGCACAAAAAGCACGTAGCTCAAATCGCAGAGTCGATCGATGTGTCCCTGGCGGAGGAGCCAAGTGCAGGAAGGAGAGCAACTGGTCAAGGATTGGGGATTTGGAGCCAACGGTGATCAAGCTCAGGACAACGTGGATGGAGAGGGGATGGGGTGAGGGACCTTAGACTACAAAAGAATAGATTGTGGACCTAATTCATTACTAAAAGTTGGATAGGGACCTTAGACCGATTTTCCATATTAACTTTTAATAACTTTTTTATTTTTACGAAAAGATGTATAAAAACAATAAAGAGAATGATGTGATAATTTATAGTGATTTTTTAACTAAAATTTCAAATTGCCAAACAAAGCCTAAAAATAACAAAAATCTGAACAAACAAACAAACCAAGTGCTGAGAGAAGAACATATTCCCTCTGTCCCAAAATAATGGTCTTTTTTGGGGAATCCAACTTTTTTTTAATAGTACAATTATTGCATTTTTAAAAAGTTAATTTTCTAAAATTACCCTTTTGATAGTACATTTTTTGGGAATGCCAATGTCATAATTGTACTTTTTATATTATTTATTAATTTAAAAGAATGGCAAAATAAGAAATCTATATTATTTTTGTACTTAATTTTTGAAGAGGAACTAATATTTTGGGACAATAAAAAATAGAATAAGGGGTTAATATTTTGGGACGGGGGAATATTGATTCAATTGAAGATCACAAGTGCAGGTCCCATCTCAAACAAGGAGGCACTGCCCGATCTCACATCTCCTTGTAACACTGTTTCTGTTTCTCCAAAGAGCCTCTCAAATATTCAAATGGAGCTGAATTTATCTGTTCATTTTCAAATTCATAAAATGAGGATATGTGCATTTTCAAATTCAAAAATAAGTACTAATATTTATGTTGTTACACTTCCAAATTAAAAAATTATCTCAACTTTCAATCTAATCATCATTTAAAATATAAAAATTATTATTCATTCTTTCAAGTTAAAAGCTAGTAAACAAAATAATTACCGATTGCTGCGACTAGAGAGATTATAAAAATACACAAGTTTATTTTTCATTAATACCGAAGAAGAGCATATCTGAAATTAGATGTCCTTTACGCCAACATATTCGAATTACTATGTCCATATAATAAAACAAAAACAAAAACAAAATAGCTATCTCATTTGAAAAGAGGATTTATAGTCAATTGTCCCTTTTTAAATTTAAAATGTGATTATTAACCACATTTTAAAGTAGTTTGAGAAATAATTTGATTTGTATACTAATTATTTTGATTTTTAAAAAACTGATCAAGTCAAAGAACCCTTTGTAGTACTCTTTATGACAAATAAAATTCACAACCAACCACAGACACTCACATCCTTGCATGTTCATGTGTTGATATACTTGATGCACAAATGGTATTAACATCTATGGACTCAAAACCAACCACTGAAGTTATTTTTTTTAAAAAAAAGTACAACAGGAAACAAAAGGGACAGAACTATATATGCGCAGGAAAAAGTCTACGTACACAAACCAATCACAGAACCGAAGCTTTCTCATGTGAGGTGAATCCCACACAAACTGTTCATAGAACTGATGTGAGAGAGTTGTATCCGATTCTGTGACAGGTTTGCATATAGAAGAAGAATCAACTTCAAAGAGCATAAGACCATCATTCTACTCCAAGGATCAAGTTCAGAGAGCACAAGGAACAACCTCTGCTCTGCTTATCAACACGTGCAGCTTAGGCGTAGCCATCGACACTATCATCACTGGCTCGCATTCAAGGACTCAAAACTAGAACACATGAATAACCTTTCAACATTCCTATTCAATTTATTTAGGAAGTTTTCTGACCAATTTGAACACAGTAGATATGGAGTTCGTGATGGGTACAATCAGTTGAACAGTGCGTACATGTGTTTCTGAAACTCAGATTAGCTGTTACCTTCCCGTCATAAATATTAGTACAATGGAGGAACTTCCAACACTTCAGGTGATGAAGACTGCTTGCTCATTTGACGTATCTGTTTTAAATATTAGTACAATGGAGGAACTTCCAACACTTCAGGCGATGAAGACTGCTTGCCCATTTGACGTATCTGTTTTATCACGCACCAGAGACATTAGATTAAGATTTGTACATTTCTAAATAAAATTTAACATGAACAAAAATGAGAAGCTGCAGATCACATGGGAAACCTGCAAACTGCAGTGTTGTTGGATTGGGAGTTATCTCGGCCAACCTCAGATGATTTTTTTCCAATTTCTTGGGGCTGAAACACATCTCAACCCAAGTAGCAGAGGCATGGACATTTAAAGTTTTTTTGTAAAATTTTATACTTTTACAAATATATTATGTCATATATACAAATAATTTATTCAAAGATAATGAAAAATATGAAAGATAACATTAATTACTTTAAAAAAACTATATATTTCATAACTTGAAAACAAGGTATTATTCACATAACAATTACATTATAAAAAACGTAAGACAATTATAAAACAATGTAATCTTATATATGTTTCAAAACACATTTAGTGTTCATAAGTTATATTATAAGAATATAGAACATTGAAGGGATTCATCTCATAAGACGTGTTTAGAGGGTTCAAGAGGTATTATTGAAGTGCCCTTGAAGTGTCCGACATTATGAATTTGATTTTTTGATTAAGACATGTTGGAAAAGTATCGGACACACTTTTAGAAGTGTCTAAAGAGTGCCAAGTGTCGGACACAACACACTTCCATCACAAAAATGTCCGTGCTTCTTAGACCTCAACATTAGTTGTTGCTAAGGGGTAAAGATTTCGGGATTGCAGCTAGCAAACTCTGTGATAAGCTTTCCCATACAAAATAAATTCTGTAGAAAGGGATGAACTCTTTCAAAATATTAAAATTCACACAAAATCTACAAGGACTGAAAAGAAAATATGAACTTACAAGTTGAGAGAAGCATTAAGAACAAAAAAGGCAAGCATCCATCCAATCACCAGATGATTTCTTCAACGTCGCTTTCACATGAATCCCGACCATAAAGATCATTTTTTGTTATAATTAGCGTACCACAATGCCAATTGGCTATCAACAAGCAGCTCTGAAGCACTTGCAACGACACCTGACTTGGGGATTGCTGGGATGGTGAAAGACATCATTGAAATACTTCGTTTGCACATAACAAGGCAGATGGAGTAGGAAACCTTAAGTGGACTCAATTATAAGAAAATCTTCAGAACTCAATAGACGGAGAGAAGCGCACAAACAGAGCAAGACATTACTTAGGCAATGCCAACAAGCACTTCAACCACCGAAATAGCACACCCAATAGCTCTTTATCAACGAAGTCATTTGGCACCTTGACATCGATTCATCGCGTCCTAGGGTTGAAGAAGATCACAAGTGTTCAGTTGTTCAATGATTCAAGTGGTATGTAAGTTGGGTTTCAGCAGTACAGAGATGCAAGCTTTGTCATGAGAATAGTCCCCTGAATACAAGACTTGGATATTAGCAGTGTCAACCATGGGCCATGAACATGACCAGCACTGTAATGTAAGCAGTAGATACATTTTTTAAACAGAAGTCAATGATCTGTGAAGGTATGCTACAAAACCTCAATTTTAGTTAAGTTGCAAACATGAATAGAAGCTAATTCTTATAAATTGCCAAACTTCAAAATAAATTAATTCAAAATTAAAAGCCCGATGAAGAAGCATTAGATGCAATTGAACATTGCATGCAAAGATATGAAAAAAAGACATCAGTACAAATCATATTACAGTCTATTTTCCTGTTTTTTCAACCGATAGGAGGGAAATATGCAAAGAGAAAGCTGCATCGCGCAACGGTAAGACTCGAACCCAGCCATCACATCTATTAAGGAAGTCCCTCATCACCCAGGCCAATCCCTTTCTCTCTTATTTTCCTCTTTCTTAAAACTAATAAGGTCCTTGATTTGCAAACTCATGCATTCACCGGAGATACAACCCTAGAAGCAACATAATTCCTACATGATCATAGTAATATTTACTATGTGCACGGCACGTGGATGCAACCTTTTTTGAGTATTAAACAAGTTCCTTGATATTTCCTACCACATTGAACTCCAAGCATACATGTCTCTAAGATGAAGCATTGTCCCTAAATAATGCAGAACTGCTCAAACATCGAACATTGGTGTCAAGAGCGCCTTCAGACAACAGGATGGATAAGAAGAAGCCAATTTTTGTCATAGAAAATAAGGTTATTAAAGAGATAAATTCTGAACCAGAAGACAACTTTTAGTTTAAAAAAATAAAAATAAATAAAGAAGAGCCTTGGGATCTATTGGGGATTATCCACCCTTGAACCCTAACCTAGATGAGAAATAAACAGCCACAGGAGAGTCTTCATAGTGCAATAAAAAGTAAACTTTGTTCGCTAAATAACCTCGAAACATGAAATAAAATAATTTCCATGATGTTGCTAATCCAGTTACAATGCTCTCTCTGTATATAGACAACCTTCTGGAGGAAATTTCCAAGTCCAGGTAAGTTATCAGCGGATGTACTTTCCAAATCTCATTTTATTATATTTTTTTAAGTCAAATATAATTACAAACTGTTTCATACCACAGAATAACATATGGAATTGACTTATGATGAGTTTCTAGTGAATAACCTTTCCACATCAAAAAACCATGTTGGTAGTCAAGTTGGCTGGGCTGCTGAGGTAATAGCTCAGCAACTAGATTCATTCTTGAGCTTGCCTGATGCACATGGTTGGCCGATGTTTGTATGCATCCACAGGGACTAGTCTCGACTAAAAATGGTTTCAGGAAACTCTGGAACAACAAGATAAACATTTTAACATCAGAACAACAAAATCTTACTGAGTTGCAAACTCATGAACCAAAGCTAAGAAACAAACAGGAGAGAATTCACAATTTTTAAAAAAAATATATATTAAAGAATCATTTATTTCTAAATAAGATTTACCATGAACAAAATTAAGAAGAAGCATATACAGTCTCAAAATAAGATTTAACATAAACCATCTCCAGTCTTAGTTTGAAATCCTTCCTCCATGTGCACAGGAGATAGGGCCTCAAAAAGCGCTAAAATAAACAAAGAAACAGATGAAGGCATCAACTGACCAATATATCTTTTGGTGAAACATCTTCATCATTAGTACAGATATTATTGCGGAACCGAGAAGAGCAGGAACCCATTATCCCAGCATACCCTAATCTCTTTTCCAACACTAAGTCTCTTCCCTCGAATAATTTTTCCCCATTTGCCAATAAGATTGTAATAACTCCCACGCCACCTCAACTTCATTGCATAAAAATCACCAGTATCAAAATCTTGAGCATCGATATTAAGTTGCCGTTCATTTCTCAGCTTTTCACGTGTTTGTTGCGTCCAGTGCAAGAGAATATGATCTTCAACTGATTTTCCCGGTAAAGTAAGGAATGGATGATTTGTATCCACATCAGACAATGTTAAGGCCTTCTTAATAGGCCATTGATCCAGCACTACGGGCGCTGCAGAATTCTGCTCTTGTGGGACTGAGAAGTGTAAGCATTTGTTGGCCCACCGTATTTTGATCTCTTTCCCAACACCAAGTCCCTTCCGTCGAATGATTTTTCCCCATTTCCCAATAAGGTTATAATAATTTCCACGCCACTTCAACTTCATTACATATAGTTCACCGGTATCATAATCTAGAGCATTCACATTAACTTGTTCTTCATTTCTCAGCAGTTCTCGTTCTTGTGGTGTCAAATACACAAGAATGTGATCTTCAACTGGTCGGCGAGGCAAAGGGAGGAATGGGTGGTTGATATCCACATCAGACAATGTCAGAACCTTCGTAATAGGCCATTGTTGTGGCTCTTGTGGTGCTGCAACAATCTGCATTTGTGGTATTACAACATTTTGCTGTGGTGAAACGGAGAAGTGTAAGCATCCATTAGCCCATCGTATTTTAATTTCCCTCCCTACATCAAGCCCCTTTCCTCGAACAATTTTGCCCCATTTTCCAATTAGATTATAATAACTCCCACGCCACTTTAGCTTCATCACATACATGCCGCCAGTATCATCATCTTGGGCATTAACACTCACGTGCTCTACATTTCTCAAATGGTCCCGGTCTTGCGGTGTCAAATGCACAACAATATGGTCTTCAACTGGTTGGCGAGGTAGAGTGAGAAATGGATGAGTGATATCCACATCAGACAATGTAAGGGCCTTCCTGATAGGCCATAGGTCGTGGCCTCGTGACGAAACATTATGATATGTTGTTCTCCTCATTGCTGGGGAAAATAAAATAAAAGCAATTGACATAATTAACTTTTGGATTTTATGGTATTTAGTCAATTTTACCAAAAGGCTTTTTCATGCAGTTATACTTGGTAAGAAATTCCTTGAACAACGCATATGAGGAGCCCAACACCTTCATGCAAACAAACACATTCCTCTACACAGCACATAACTCAACTCAATGTCAAAATAATTTCAGCAAAACAGTTGAATTATGTTTATATAAGACTATATGCACAATAATATGAATTTAATGGTTAATGCTCTTAATTCTTGACTAATTCTACATATGAATTCAATAACTAAATATATTGACTAATAGAATTGTTATTAAGTTTCACTATGCTTCTTAAGTTATAAATAAAAAAAACTTGGTAACAGATACATTTTTCAGCACCAAAATAGTATATGCATGAGAGGGAGCAATGAAATTTATTTACCACTTTGGTTGGATAGGCCACCAAACACGACTGGATTGACCACCTTGTGGGATGGGCCACTAGACATGGCTGGATAGACCACCGTGTGTTAGATGGGCCACCGGACACAGCTGGATATGCCAGAATGTCGCTCAACATAACGGAGCATAACTAGATATGCCGAAGTGCCGCTGATAGGCTGATACAAGGCTAGATATGCTGGAATGCAGCTTGATAGGCCCAAGCACGGTCAAATGGACCCAAACACGACAAGATTGGCTACTCCCCGGCTAGATAGGTTACCCCATGGCTAGATAAGTTGTCAAGCATGTCAAGAAAAATCACCGGGATGGAATTGAACAACTATGTTGGCCGGCATGGAAGTGACAAAGTGAGGATTATCTCAGTCAAACCAAGCAAAATTGCGTCTCTTCGAAGGACGAGGGACACAGGCAAAAAAGCCTTAGCTTAGCTAGGCATTCTTTGGATTGGAATAAGACCTAGCTTGATTAGGCATTCCATGTATAAGTCCTAACTCAGTTAGGCACTCTTTGGAATAAGACCTAGCACTTGCTAGGCATTTTGTCTGTAAACCTTAGCACGGCTAGGTAATCTCTGGATTTAGTCCTAGCATTCACCAGACATTCTTGGACTAAGTCCTAGTACTCATTAGATGTTCTTGAAAAAAGTCCTAGCTCAGGTAGGCATTCTTTACAAAAGCCCTACACTCAAACATCACATCAAGGCAACTAATTAGAGTTATCTCAAAGACTAGCGGGCATGTAGTAGCAATGCCCGGCAGTCATATGCTATTTCAACCAAAAACGGCAATACATGGTCATCTATCAAAGCAACAAAAAAAAGCTACCACTCCTCTATTGGCTCAAAGATAATGGAAATTGGGGGCAAATGAGGCAGGTAAAAATTAGCTCAAATAAACGTGGAGCCTACCTCAACCTGCATGGTATAATCTCATTGGTTAAGTCAAGAACGTGCCACAAGGCATGGAAAGAAATAACAAGAATGGCGAAAAAAAAGAATAATCTATTAGAAGGGGTATTCCAAAGAACATCCTGGGAAGCATTTAGACCTACTTGATCACCAAGAAAATCTCTACTATATATACATCTGCAACTCCATGGGTTAAGGTATGCTTTGGTCAATTACTCGGCCTCTCAATTGCTACCTATTCTCTTATGGGGATTGATAGAAGAGTCAAAATGCCCCTGGCCAACCAACGGTTGGGCCACTAACACTGTTTTCTCTTGTACATCTCGAGTTCATAGTGGCTCTAGTCATCTTTTGAATTCGATTCTCATCATCAACAAGCAAAGTATATTTTTCCCCTTACACTTCTAATCCCTTTTATTATTTTTGCTAAATAAATGTTACAAGTAATTTCCACATAATATATTTTCAGTTACATGACTATTTTTGTATCCTAATAATTCAACACTATATGATGATTTTATGAAAAGTAAGCAAAACACTTATTTATCAACGACAGTAGAATGAAGTTGATTCCGCAAAAAATTATTAACAATTGGAGATGTTAACATAGAAAATATTAACTATATATTTTTACCTTATTAGTACACTTATTACATGGCCATTTTTAATCTAACTGCAAAAGGTGCACATCGAAATTACTTTATTTCAAAGAATTTCAACTAAACTTACCGAGAAACAAGCAAGTACACCCAATCAGCATGCACAATGTATCAAGAATATAGCAAGTGGAAAGTAAGTATCAGATGTTTGGCCAACCAAAATTGCTGATTAAATCAGCAATTTCCAAGAACGGCATCGGATTAATCCTGAGTATTATATTTAACTTGTAACTTTGTGTAACTAATGTTTGTTTGTGTGTGTGCGTGTACGCGCGCGGGGCACTATTTCTGCAACTGGAAAGACAGTATTCACAGCCCCATCAACAAGACTTTTAAAACACACATATTCAAGAAAGAAACTGTTAATTCAGATACCAGCCTCGTAAGCATACATATAAATATATATAACTTATCAATATCGATGCTATCTATATTATTATATAAAGCACACAACTCAGAATTTGAAGGTTTTTCATGCTTTTTTGTTTTCCAATAATGCCCATAAAATTGTTATCTGCTAAAATTCCTGTAACCAACTACTAAATGATTTTCGAATTTTTACACTTTTGAGTCACATAATTTATTCCCAAATGACCCATCTGTAGTTAAGAATTGAAGCACATGTTTTTCTGTAACTACCCACTCAATCTATAATGGCCAATTTTAACCCACAATGAAAATTTTAAGTACACCCACATTGTATATATATAATCAATGTGCATATATGTCCAATGACAGATTATCTTTGCAAATACACTTAGACCAAGAAACAGAAATGATAAAGTGTTGGAAACCCAGAAAACTGATCACCTTCAAAGATCAAATTTCAACAGAAGCATGCAGGGTATATTCCCCTCCGTCCAATCCATTCTAAGTCTACCAATTTAAAGCCCAAAAACAAAACCCAACAAAAAAAAAAGGGATTCAAATGAAGAATCTAAACGTGCTTGAGAATTCATGAAAGATCAAGCGATACAGATACACAATTGAAGAGAGAAAATTACCTGATCAAATAAGCTGGAAAACAAGGGCGTTGAAAAGGGTAATATATGTATGTATATAAAGAGGACAAGTTTTAAAGCTTCATAGACGAATGCGGATATCGATAATTTGAGCCTTTTTGTCACAGAAAATGTGTTGAGATTCAATGAAAGGATAGAGAGAGAGAAAGAGACTCATGTTTCAACAAGCAACGATAATGACTCACATTTATGCTATGAATGTTGATGGTGCCACTCAATTTGAGCCCAACAAAGACAATTGCTTGCCTTGCCCAAGGTTTCTCAAAATTACAAGCACACCCTGAATTTTCAGAAATTGTTTTTTTTTTTTTTACCCAACAAAACATTCCAAAGAAACGGAACCAATATCCTTAAACTATTGGAAAATATGTAAAAGAATTGAAATTTTTTAATTTGTCCAAAGGAATCTAAATATTGGGGGAAATGTCCAAGTACAATTTTCAACTATCAAAAAGTAGTCCTAGAGAGTTCAATTTAATTAAAAAAAAATTGGTTAGAAGGTGGGAAATTGTTATTGAATTTTAATGAATAAAATTTCTTAGTTCAATTTTTTTTTTTTATTTATTTTTTGAGGGAGGTGTTGAAGGCTATATGAGCCGCGAGTTAAATTATTAACAAAATCATTGCCAACATAGTTATTTTTCTCCACATCTTACGACTATCATATTACAACCATTATGATCTTATTCTCAACAGCCTTGTTTTTTTTTAAATAAACCTTCATTATATTGTTAATTAGACACTCTTTACCACTAAACACAAGATAAGACTATGTCATCTTGTTGGTTTAGTAATTGGCTATGATCTCGTTGTGATTAAAAATAATGCATCTTGAGATCAATTTATATCGTTTAACACTTATTTTTTGTGAACATTATAAAACATTTCACCAATGTCATGCTCTATTTATTAGAATTTGTTAGATATGCTTTTATTCATTTTTAAACTGATAAGCTTAGTTTCTCATAACTTACGTTGAAAATATCAAATGAGGACCCTAATGTAATAAGGTTAACGATCGGGCATTTGGAAGTTACTTGATTTGCTTAAGTAATAGATTTCACTTCCAAGATAAATGAAATTTTGTTATTTGATATTAACAAACACAATGAAATAATTTTGTCGTTGATATTGTCAATTTGATAGTTGTAATCTTCAAAATCGGAATAAGTATGCTAGTGTCCTTCAAATTTACCCTCTTCATTTCTCCCTTTTGAATAGACAATGAAATTTCACTATCCCAAAACAACAAACATAGAAATTTCATCAAAATTTTCTTCTTCATTCATATTTAATATAAAATATTATTTGATAAATACCGACGATAAAATTCCATCAATATTAATTTTATAAAAATTTACATCTAGATCGGAAGTTATGACATTTAAAAGTTTGAAAAATGAAATTAATCACTATAAATGTTTTGGCTGCAAAGATGCACGAGTTGTTTTCCACAACAAAACTTATGGCTCATTTATCTTTGCATTTTTTTTATTATTTTCTCTTACACCTACCTTCTTTTGAAAATAAAAAAATCTTTTTCATAAGATACAAATCGTACAATACATTTAGTTGAAAAACTCCATCTATATATAATATTATAAAAATATGACAATATCATTATTATTATATCAAAGTAATCTTTATAAATATCTTGTTGAAATGCTTGTTGGATCAATCTTCTGTGTAAATAAAATAAATTCAAATAATTCAAACAAAATAAAATAAAATAAAACTTACAGTATTTATTTTGTAGAACAGAATAAATAATTCAAGACCAAGTCGAGTGTATGACACTCTGTCCTTAAGACAGATTCGCCGCTACGGTGCTTACGGTTGAGTGGTGTCTATCTCTCAGGATACAATGGTCTTCACAAAATTGTTGTAGCACACCAAACAAATTTGTACGGCGAACCAAACCTTATGTTCTATACTCTCTTTATATTATTCTAAAACTAAAAATGAAGAATAAATGCACTAGAGCAAAATGGACAGCAATGAGATAATTTTCAGACTGATTTTCGGATAACAAAATTGTTGGACAGTGCTGGTATATATAGAGCCGAACAGGTGCAGAATTTTGAACTGAACAGATGGATATTTGAATTGAACAGGTATACTTCAAAATTCAAACAGATCTAACCTGTTTGAACAGATTTAACTACTGGACAGTTAAACCCAGAACTGCTGGGCAGTTTCTGGAAGTTAAAAAACTGAAAAACAGTTTTAATCTGTTGAAGAATTTCGGACAAAAGTTTGGACAAAAATTGGAATTCAAATTTGAATTAAATTTCCGCAATATTTTTTGAAAAAATTGAAATGAATTTTGTCCAAAAAATTAATACGAGAGCCGACCCAACCTACAACCCACACCCGACACGGCTCGACTCAGCCAGACTGACGGCGGCGACGCACGCGCGCGTGTGTAGTGGTTTGGGCTAAGGTTCACTTTGTCCAAAACTCCTCACTTCTACAAACTTGGGGTGCCCCTTGGGGCCCAACCCAAGTATTGTAGGCTAGAGTTTATATACTCAACAAAACTCTCTTAAAGTTTCAATGTGGGACAAGCCTCACAAAGAAATCCATATTTAATACTTAAATGTTCAATTTCACGAACCCGAAAACGACGTCAACTTCTCATTCACTCATAAATGATTTTGACGTATCGTCTTCACCGTGTGACTTGCCATGCGGTAAGGAACACTTCACCTCTTCGGACCCGCTCCAAAAGACGTTTGGGGCCCATTCAATTTTGGGCTCAAAGTCGGCCCAAAATATGCCTATATTAACCATTTTTCCAACAATCCCCCACATGAATGGAATTTGACGGAGAGAAAATGCAACAACATGATCTAAATACAGAGAGTACAGAAATTGAAAATATTTTGCAAAGGATAGGTAGCTTTTGGCTTTGAACTTTCCCTTGTGAGACACTATCGGATTTACTAGCTAACCAGTGAACATGATGTCTTGAACTGTTCAGCCGTTTATGTAAACCAAGACAATAGAACTCACACAGTATATCCCCAGACACAATTTAGTTCTCACTATTGTGTTCATTTTGGCCCTGAACAACCTAGTCTTTCATGAGTGCTCTAGAGAATTGTAGCCCTTCACAAATCTCACAGAACCGGCCCAGTTCACACTCATATAGGTGATTCTTATGAAGAGTATCCTGCCATACTCCACTAGGTATACCTAGATATAAGAATTATTAAAAGTATTACTTAATCTAAAACGCTGCAGGCATCACTATTTCATCAAAGAAATGGGTAGGAGTTAGACTCCCCAGTAATCCTTCTGAGTTATTCACAACTCGGTTGTCCCTTTGAACCCAGATCTTGGGATCTCCAGTTAACTAGATTAGGTTGCCGTTGTGGTAACTCTTATTTAATAGGCTTAAGTCCCATTCCTCTCGATGAATTCTCAACTAACTCTCTTGCTAACCCTTTGGTTTGTGGATCCGCTATGTTGTCTTTAGACTTCACATAATCAATGGAAATAATTCCATTAGAGAGTAGTTGTCTAACGGTATTATGTCGACGACGAATATGTCGAGACTTACCATTATACATATGACTCTGTACTCTACCTATTGCAGATTGACTATGGCAATGTATGCATATAGCAGGCACCAGTTTTGGCCATATTAGAATATCTTCAAGGAAGTGGCGAAGTCATTTTGCCTCTTCCCCTGATTTGTCTAAAGCTATGAATTCTGATTCCATAGTAGACCTAGAAATACAAGTCTATTTGGAAGATTTCCAAGATACAGCCACACCACCAAGAGTAAAGACATACCCACTGGTGGACTTTGAGTCGCTAGTATCCGATATCCAATTTGCATCACAGTATCCTTCAAGTACTGCTGGATATCTTGTATAATTCAGCCCAATGTTACGAGTGAATCGGAGATATCTTAGAACCCTTATAATTGCTTTCCAGTGTTCTACTCCCGGATTACTCGTATATCTACTTAATTTACTTACTGCATAAGTAATATCCAGAAGAGTGCAGTTCATCAAGTACATTAAGCTTCCAATAATTTGGGCATACTTTAATTGAGAAATACTTTCATGCACATTCTTAAAAAGATACAAATTAACATCTATAGGTGTTCTAGCAAGATGATCATCATCTTTGCTGAATTTGTCAAGTATTTTCTCAATGCAATGAGATTGTGACAAACATATCCTTCTGATGTTTTGGTAATTTTCATACCAAGAATTACATCAGCAATGCCCATGTCTTTCATGTCAAAATGTTTATTCAACATTTTCTTGGTAATTTTAATCATGTCATTATTACTACCTATGATGAGCATATCATCTACATAAAGACATACAATGGCATAACCTTTGTTTGTGTTTTTAAAATAAACACATTTGTCACACTCATTAATTTTAAATCCATTTGACATCATTGCCTTGTCAAATTTCTCATGACATTGTTTTGGTGCTTGTTTTAAACCATATAATGATTTAACCAATTTACACACTTTCTTTTCTTTTCCTGGAATAGAAAAACCTTCTAGTTGTTCCATGTAAATTTCTTCATTTAACTCACCATTTAAGAAAATAGTTTTTACATCCATTTGATGAATTTCTAAATTATATAAAGATGCAATGACAATTAACATTCTAATGGATGTTATTCTAGTAACCGGTGAGTAAGTGTCAAAGTAATCAAGACCTTTTTTTTATCTAAAACCTTTGACCACAAGTCTTGCCTTGTATTTGTCAATTGATCCATCCGCTTTCAATTTTCTTTTGAAAATCCACTTGTACCCAAGAGGTTTACAACTTGGTGGCAAGTCCACTAATTCCCAAGTGTAATTTTGCAAGATGGATTCAACTTCACTGTTGACAGCTTCTTTCCATAAAGGAGGTTCAGGACTGGACATAGCCTCTTTAAAAGTTAAAGGCTCATTTTCTAACAAATATGTTAGAAAATCTGGACCAAAAGATTTTGAGGTTCTAGCACGTTTACTACGCCTAAGTTCCTCTTCCTCATTTTGATCTAACTCTTGTTCTTGATCATGTTCTTGATCCTGACTAGTAATAGCATCATGAGATCTTTTATTGTTACTAGTCTCATGTCCAGTCTTATTTGGAAATACATGTTCAAAGAAAGATGCATTCCGAGATTCAATAATAGTATTTCCATGCATTTCGGAATGTTCTGAT